TACACAAAGCAATTTTTAAAGAGAAGAAGAACAATGATAGAAGATTTATTTGAAGACTTGCTATGATGTGACAATAATTGCAATAAAGCAATAAAATCACAGTGTTGGTTAAACAATATGTATGACTTCATGGAGAACAGAGAGTCAGAAATAGACTTATAAATATATGGTCAATTGATTTTTGGCAAAGGTACCAAGGCAATTCAATGGAAAAAGAAAGCATGGTGCTAAAGTAACTTGATATCCACGTAGAAAAATATAAAAATTACTGCAAACTAAATAAAAAACTTACCACAAAGTGTAAAAGCTAAAATTATAAATCTTCTGGAAGAAAACATAGGAAAAAATATTTATGACCTTGGAGTAAGCAAAGAACAGGAAATGAGCACAAACAACAAGAAGAAAAAAGTAATATATTGGATTTTATCAAAAGAACAAATTTTGCTCTTTGAAATACTATTAAGTAAAAAAAAAAGCAAGCCAAAGAATGGGAGGAAGTATTCACTATACATATATCTCACAAAAGACTTACCTCTACGATATATAAAAAATTTTATAATTCAGTAAGAACATAAAGAACTCAAAAAGGGGTAAAAGATTTGATCAGATACAAGATAAGATATGATATATACAAGTGGTCAGTAAGCACATGATATTATGCTCATCTTTAGTAGTGAGGGAAACGCAAAATAAAATTCCAGTGAAATACTATTACACACCTATTAGAGTGGCTAGAATTAAAAAGACTGAGAATATCAAGTGTTGACAAGGATACTGAGCAACTGAAATTCTCATGCATTTCTGGTGGGAACAGAAAATGATCTAATGACTGGAAAATAATTTGGCAGTTGCTATAGACTGAATGATTGCATCCCCCCAAATTCATATGTTGAAACCTAATTCTCAAATGATTGTATTTGGAGGTGGGGTCCTTTGGAGATGATTGGGTTATAAGAGTGGAGCCCTCATCAATGAAATTAATGCACTCATAAAAGAGATCCTCCTTGCCCTGAGAGCTCCTTTACCCCTTCTGCCATGTGAGAACTCAGTGAGAAGACAGTTGTCTAAGAATAAGAAAATGAGCGTTTACCAGACACTGACTCCGCTGGTGCCTTGATCTTGGACTCACCAGCCTCCAGAACAGAAATAAATTCGTAGCCACCCAATCTACGATATCCTGTCATAAGAGTCCAAATCGACTAAGACAGATGCTTCTTAAAATTTTAGCTTTATTTATCATATCACTTAGCTATTCTACTCCTATGTATATATCCAAGAGAAATGAAAACATAAGTCTACACAAAAGACTTAAGGATGCTCATAACAGTAATATTCCAAGAGCAAAAAGTGGGTGGTAGGGGGTGCAGAAAACTAATGTCCACCAATGTCATCTAAGTGATAAGATAAAAAAAAAAGTGTGCTGTAGCCACATAATAAAATGCTACTCAGTAATAAAAAGGAATGAACCACTGCTAACTGTGACAACATGGATAACTGCCCAAAACACTATACTCAGTTAAAGAAGCCAGATATAAAAGAATGCATGCTTTATTATTCAATTCTATAAAATACAAATTAATCTATAATGATAATAATCGATCAGTGGTTTCCTGGGGTCAGGATGGACTTTAAAAGAAGAATGAAGAATCTTTCTGAGTTCATGGAATTGTTCTAGATCTTAACTGAGGTGATGATTTTAAGAGTGTTTACAATGGTCAGAATTCATTTTTTTAGATGCAGCTTAGCATATGTAAATTATTCCTTAAAAAAGTTGATAAAAAAATATCACATTTAAATCAACTCTCCACTTCTATTAGGCCTTGGTTGGTGGGCTGGCATCTTTAGTTATTATTCTGAAACAAATATTATCTATCAATATAATTCATGCTGAAAAAGCTTTGCAAACATCTACAGTGATATCTGTTAAAGGGTTGCCATTATTATGATCTTGGAAGACTTGGTGAGCTTCTTAAATGTAATGCTAAAGGATCATGTCCTGAGATACCACCTCTAAATATTTTTTTTTTACCACGCCACTTCTGACACCAAACATGTGGTTGTATTTTCCCATATCAACCAATTCTCCAACCAACCAGACACCAACATGGTATCCTCCAATTCAATTCCATTCTGACAGTTAACTTCCCAGAAGTAGCACAGACCCCCACAGACTGCCCTTATTTCAGACACCAATTACATGTCTTGGCCACCCATACTTCTGACTGACTGATTATAAAACTGGGGGTTCCCACAACCCTTTCTTCAAGTTCGATAATTTGCTAGAACAGTTAATAGTATTCAGGAAAACAGCTTATATCCTATTATATATATATATGATGAAACTCAGGAACAGCCTGAGGCACATAGGGCAATGTATGGGGGAAGGGGACAGAGTTTCTGTGCTCTCTTCAATCATACCACACTCCCAACACCAACCTGGAAGCTTTCAAAACCCATCTTTTGGGGTTTTTACAGAAGTTCTATTATAAAAGCATGACTGATTAAATCATTGGTCCTTGGTTACTGAACTCAATTTCCAGCTCACCTCCTCTCCCTGAGGTCAGGGGCAGGGGTGAAGGGTGTGAGACTGAAAGTTACAACCCTCTTGTCAAGTAATTGGTTCTTCTGGGAATCAGCTCCCATCCTTAAGCTATCTGGGGCCTAGCCAGTCACCTCATTAGCATAAACTCAGATATGATTGAAAAGGTCTCATTATGAATAACAGAAGACACTCCTCTCGTCCCATCACTCAGAAAATTACAAGGTTTTTAAGAACTCTGTGTCAAGAGACCAAGACAAAATACATATTTTTTATTATAGCACCTTCACACTGAGTGAAAAGAGTAAATCTAATCTGGTTTTCCATTAGTGATGTGGACATGTTTGATATTTAGCCTTGGCTAAATGTTTTTCCCTCCAATATGTAAAAAATACACACACATTGCTGTGATTTAAAATGAGTCCAAAGAAAATCTTTTACAACTATAATGACATCCAGAGCCTGGTAATTTGAAAGATAAGAATTATTTTTCATGTAGTCATATGGATTGTGTCTGTAAAAGTAGTCTTCCTAATTATATGTACTACTTTAGCCTCTAAAACTGCTCTGGCATCTTCTGGGCAGGGCATACTAGCATCCAGAGACAGGGCTGGCCTGATTGGCTTTCCCAGGCCCTTGGAACAGACTGGGTAGCTTCTTAAACTCTGGAGAGCTATGCAAAAGAGTCTTTGTGGCAACAAAATGCAAATATTTGAGTATCAATCGTATTCTCTGAGTTTTCTCTGGGTATGAAAGTCAAATAAATTCTCAGGTCCCATCTTAATGAGTCCAGACCTGCCTTTTTGGGGTCTTGGAATGTGAGCGCAATCTCAAAGGCACAACACCCTGGGCTTCTGACACCCATATGTGGCTTGCTCCGAGGTCAGGCAAAAGGTGATGTTGGATTAAATAAACACAATGAGTTGGGGTACGACCACTAAGTTTCTTTGAGATTCAATCTGGAGCCATAGGTCACCATTTTTTTTTTTTGATGCAACCAAGATTTTTCTTGAAATATGGCTTCGTTTTGCTTAAATAAAATACACCAATATTATACCAGTTTTATAAAATATGGTTGACACACAGACAGATCAGTGACCCTATTTCCTTGAGCTTTAGCTTCTGCCCCCTCTCTGATTTTTTCATTTGTCTTAGTATAGAAAAACAGGGCAAATAAAAAAGTGTGTGCTATGGTTTCTCGGGACCCTTCAGGGCCTGATATTCTCAAAGGTCTTCATTTTCTGCAGAGATCTTACTTTCCTTGTTTTATGTTTCTCATTAACTTTGTGGCAGCTGCCACTTTGCAGAAGATTGGTCTCAGTTCTGCATTTGCCAAGTGACACAAAATAGTGATATACAGATTGTTGCAAATTCACAGAAATGTTGAAATAAGTAGAGAAACAGTAGGAACAATGAGAGGATACACATCACATAGGCAAGACTTGTTTGGAGAGCCCAGTGAGATGTACATGGAAAATGTAGTTCATGGAGTCTAGTCAGGAAAAAGGAACCACGCAGTAAGTTAAACAGAGATATTTTAATATCAAAATTATTAACTATAATAAAGGAATAGCTATAAGATGGTATATACTATACCATCTATGGTAAACTAGGGCTCAGGGACTGCCTGAAAAGGACATACTTGGAAAGGGTTCAGCACTCACTGGAGAAGGTGTGGATGGACCATTGGACAGCAGAGAGGCTGACGGGCATAGCCAGACTGGAGCTGGTCTGGAGGGCAGACAGGGAGCACTCAGTAGGGCCCCAGACGTGCGGTAAGAGCCTGGGCTCAGGAGTGGGCAAAAGACCTTCAGAGGAGCACACTGCCTGGTGGGTGTGGCTTACATAGGTTGGGTGATTCAGGTAGACCCTTGGGCCACAGGCATGCTGCACATGGGCCATGCTGGGGCTTTTTTCCCCTATGTGTCACCAGGCCAAAGATATAAAGTCACAGAGGGACCACTTTCAGGTCCTGTGGCCCTGGTAGGATCCACCAGAAGTTCTCACACCCACATGGCCACATGGAAGTTGCAGGAAGTCCCTTTCTCCTGCAATGTCCCTTCAGCGCCCTCTACTGAGAGAACTTAACATGGTGATCACCTTAAAGGAGAAATATTTAAAAGAATTCCATTAGTTCTTTTAAGTATTATAGAACCCATATTGGTGGGTACTTTCAGAGTTGAGAGAAAATAAATGGATAATAACACAGAGAGCTTAGCAAAGAGACTAGCACATAGTAGGTGCTCAGTGATTGAAAGCTGTGAGTATGACACTTATGTAGCAAGACCGAATACATTTAAATTAGTTGGAATACATTTATCATATTTATTGCCATGTCATTTATTGCTGTGTATTATTTAACTAGACACAAAGTTAAGAATTTGTGTGTAAAATCTTTCTCATTTCTAATTCACGTTTCTTTTCTTTTCTTTTTTTTCTTTTTCACTTTTCTTTTGTCCAGGTCTTATACAACATATTAATTGCCTTCACAAAGATGCATAAATTTGAAGCCATAGAACCTGTCGACATTTTGGCTGGATGTTCTCGATTCATTATTGTGGGGGTTGGGGGAACATTCTTCGGCATTATTTTTGGATTCATTTCTGCGTTTACCACACGTTTCACTCAGAATATCTCTGCAATTGAACCGCTGATCGTCTTCATGTTCAGCTATTTGTCTTACTTAGCTGCTGAGACACTCTATCTGTCTGGCATCCTGGCGTGAGTACAAACCAAAGACCAACTCTCATAGTGATGACAGAGGGTTTAGGACCACATCTTGTGGACCAGCATCTGGAAAAGACCCAACAGCTGATGCTAATTCTCAAAAGTGTTGCAGAATTCAGGTTTTTTAAACGTCTGTAAAATCTGATACAGGCCTTTTGCCAAACAAATGTTCTCTCCATCATTTGTTTTTGCTCTCTTCATGTGATTTGCCTAAGGAGAGCATAGCAATTGTAAGGTCATTTTAGAATGCTCAGAAAAGCTGCTACAGAGAAAAGCTGGGAGAAGTTCAAGGTTAAAGTCTCATCTTAGTAATTGTTTTTCTTTGAAAAATTCATTATCTTAAAATTAAAAGGAAATGTGCTACGAGGGACTGTCATTGCTGGGCATTGCCTTTTGTTATTTTTTTTCAAAACACATCGTAGCTCCAGGACTTGACAGTGTAGAATAAAACCAGGTAAATGAGATAAGACTAGACATCCAGATTTATTTTTCCTAATAAAAATATTTTAAAAAATATTTACATCATATTGATCTTGAAATGAGGCTTCATAATTTGCCTTATTATACCCGATCATGTTGTTTTCTCTATGACATTAGCCTCATATGCAGCTCCTCAGGTAAAAGTAGTTAATTTTATTGTAGAGATACTTATTTTAATTAAATATAATAGTGTAAAATCCAAACACTCATTTTTTCCCACCTTAAGAATGATCAAAACAACCAAGACTTGCTAAGTGGATCTAGAACAGAAACATTTTAAATAAAAAAATTCTCATTAAATGATTGTAAGAAATATTGCTCAGGTGAGGCAGATGAAGGGCGTTGTTGAATTATTCTTTCTAGGTAATCGCATGGATTTGTTGGGGTTTGAGGCAGAGTGGAGTAGAGAGTAAGAGGGGGATTGACAAAGCGCTTGATAAAGGAGGGCCAGGTAGAAACACTTCAGCTTTTGGTTTGTGCGTAAATTGCCTGCCATTTGTTGTGGGAAAACCACACTCACCTCCTTCCCTACTACATTCGACTTATGCAAACCCCTTGGGAAGGGAGAAGAAGAAAGAAAATCTGTGGAAAATCTTCCACCAGAGAGGGGACAGAGAAGATGTTCTCTGTGGATAAGAACAGGATTTGTGTATCTGTGGCATCACCAACAGGGAGGGTTTTTCAGGGACAGGCATAATTTCTCTCTGAGACTCTCTGCTCCTCTTGCAGAATCACGGCCTGCGCAGTGACAATGAAAAAGTATGTGGAAGAAAACGTGTCCCAGACTTCCTAC